CCGAGTCTTCTGTAAGAACAACCAGTGTTCTTAACCACTGAGCCATCTCTCCAGCCCCATTTTGTAGTTTTTTTAAAAAGTATAAACTCATCAGCTTTTTTTCTCAGGTACACTGGGCGATGACTTCTTTGAATTTAGTGTTCCCGCAGGATTTGCTATTGTCAAATTTTATTTTGGGAGCTTTCCAATCTCTTGCCCTCCCTTCCCTTTGAAACTTTCTCCAGGATCTTTGTCGTGCCTTTTCTCAGAACAAACCCAAACTGAATTCTGTAAGTGCAGACCAGCAGTTTCAAGCTTGATGGGCAATCAGTCACCTAGGTGCTTGTTGAAGGCAAGCTGGGCTCTGTTCAGTAGTCTGATTTAATATGTCAGGGGCTGGGTAAGGGGTGTTTCCAGAATTCTGATCTTTAAAAGGCATGCCATGGTCCCTAAGAAATGCTCTTTCTGTATTTCTGGTTGTGCCTCTTCTGGCTTCTCTCTCACTCTCTTTCTGTGTGATTAGCTGTTGGTAAAAGAGAAGAAGGAAGCAAGGGGTGACTCATCGTGGATATATCTTTGTGGGTCACAAATGGTTGGGTTCATCTGAATGGGAAAAATGAATAAAGTGCAATTTAATAGACTTGCGTTTGTAGTAAATAGGTGGTGCTTCTTTAAAGTAGCCTATTTGAAGTGGGCCCTCTCAGTTGGAAGGCTGGTCAAGTGGCTTCCTACGCAGTGACTTGGGCCTAAGAGGTGCCATCCAAATGATGACTACTTTTCTGGTAAGTGGAGGGGAAGGAAAAATCTTGTGAAGTCTCAAAATTCAGATTTTTTTTTTAAAGAGAAGCTTTTGTCCTAGGGAAATGATACTTCTAATATTAAGATGAATTACTGTCCTAAGTCCATTCCACATACTTTTTTGTTGGAATGATTTTTTTCTTCTTTGTTGCATACAAAATCTATTAACTGGTCTGGGATATAGCTTAATGGGAAAGGGCTTGCCTAGCATGCTGCAGGCCTTGAGTTCTATCCCCAGCATTGCAAATCTGTTAACCAGATGCCCATTGTGGGTTACTAACATCCCAAAAGGGTGTTTAAGAATGTAAGCCTCAGTTGCTCCCAACAATTAACCTCTAGAACCAAAGTCTGTGGGAGTACTTCTTACCCACCTTTGAAAACCTTCTTGGAAGCTGGCAGTCATCAGTTAAACAAACCATTAGCTCTATTAGTTTTATAACAGACCCTTCCACTTGGACACAGTTTTCTAAATTGTTCCTCATTTGCTCAACAATCATTTAGTACAGGCTACTCTGTACCTAGTGGACATTAGATAACTGTACAAATAGAAGCCGGAAACTGATAAGGAACTCGAAGGGGTTCATCTGAATAAGAAACATGAATAAAACACTATATATAACAAACTCCTTAAAGCTATAGCTTTGTTCCCTTTCTGTAGTCTATTTTAATTGGGCCCTCTGGCCCAGAATTATCAACCTTGGATTTGGAGCTTTGAGGAAATGGTGGTTTGGTGGTTGTTTTTAAAGGATTTTTTAAAGCAACTAAGTTACTAAGCACTTGCTGTGACCTGCTGCTGAGTTAGAGGTCAGTGGGCAAGTCAGCTCTAAAGGGGGCAACATGTAAGCAAGTTTCAAGAGGGGAAAAAAGCTTCTGGATAGGTTGGATGTAATTTTGGTTTTGTTTTGTTTCGTTTTTTTAATATTTTATTTTTATTATTATTTTTATTTTATGTGTACAAATGTACTTCCCGCATGTATGTGCATGCACCCGTGTCGTGCAGTGCCGCAGAGATCAGAAGAGAGCTTCAGGTTCCCTTGGAACTGGAATTAAGGATGGCTCGTAGCCTCCATGTGGGTGCTGGGAATCAAACCCAGATCTTCTGCAAGAGTAGTCAGTGCTTTTAACCACTGAGCCATCTCTCCAGCCTCAGAAAAAGGAATTATTATCCCAATCAGGTATGGTGACTCCCAAAGTAAGCAAGGACATAAGCATCTACCAACACAAGTCCTGGACCTCTGTGTGGTGCACAGAGAACAAGAAGGTCCGACATCACGTCAGTAAAATAACCACCATCCTCACCGGGACACTAGAGTTAGCAGCACCTTGCTATCAGTCTGGCGGAAATGACACCATCCTTCATTTAGGAAAGGGACTCTTGCCTGTCGGATGCTTTTAATTCTGACACAAAGCTTCAAAATGCCACCTTTCCTGGAAGGAAGCAAATTGTGAGTGTATAGCTGTTGGAGGGCTCAATTATCATGTTTGCCCCCACAATTAGAAAATGACTCCCACTAATCGGGTAATTGTGTACCTAAGTGTCCAATTAGTGTGAGCAAATTGAAAGCGTGATCTCTGAAGTCAACCTGCATGTAAAACATGTGTTCATTAAATCTGTCACTGAATGTCAATCACAAGGACAGCCAGTCACAGTCACCTCTTTCTGGGTGAATCCTTTTAGTCCGCCACGTGGGTGCTGGGAATCGAACCTGGGTCCTCTGCAAGAGCAGTCAGTGCTCTTAACCGCTGAGCCATCTCTCCAGCCCCAGGTTTTGTTTTACTATTTAATTTTTTTGAGGTACGTTCTTACTATGTAGCGATGAGTGGCCTGGAACTCACTGTGTAGACCGTGCTGCCTTCAGACTCTCAGAGATCTGCCTGCCTTTGCCTCCAGAGTGCTGGAATTAAAGGTATGCACTACCACACTGGGCAGATTGGATACGGTTTTGTTGTGGGTTTTAGAGTTGTGTTGTGTTATGTTGTGTTGAGACAGGGTCTTACTCAGTATTCCCAGTTGGTCTGGAACTTTAGAGCCTTTTGCCTCAGCCTCCCAAGTGCTGTGATTACAGGTGTGAGCTACCACACTGGACTTGTTCTAGGCTCTGTGTATAGTTCTTTCATTCATTGTTCCTGAGAAAGGATTACCTGGTCAAATATCTTGTGGCACATTTCTTCCTTTAGTGAGTGAGCTGGAAGGAGGGCCTGGAGGGAAGGAGCTAGAAATGATCCCTGATCAGGGTCATAGGCCAAGCCCTGGGGTGGGGCAGTGCCTGGTCTCTCTAAGCGGCCCAGACCTTCTATGACAAGTCAGTCACCACCCTCTACATTTAGATTAGGACACCTTATTGATACTGATGTGTTGCCTTATAACTCTCAGAACAAGGACATTGTCCAACTCTTCCCCTTCCCCCAGCATTTAATGGGTAAGTCAGTGACTCAACTGCTTCCTCCAGGATTGTAGGGATAGGAGTAGGTAATGAGGACAAATCACCATAACACCCTGTGCGTGATGAATGAAAGAACACATGGATTTAGCCAGTTGGCTTCATTGATACTACAGTGAAAGAAAAAAAAAAAACTTTGTTGAGAAGAGGGTATTTGCACAACTTCTAACTCCACTCCCTCGCCCCTAGGCTTCTTAGCATTTCCCTTTTGACCCAGCTTAAGGTCAGGTTGCTTTGCCCAGGGAGCTGAGGGAGGTGAGAGGAGGGCAGGTGTTGGAGCAGGTGTGTTGTTTTCTCCCACAGAGTTGTACAGCCTAGGCAGGATGCTTCTTGCCAGCCCCTCTGTGGTGCATGAAAATGCTTTTGTGGAATTTTTTTCTCTTGGAAGTGTCTGGGCTTTTCTTTTTCTTTCTTTTTTTTTTTTTTGTCTTTTTGAGACAGGGTCTCCCTGTAGCCCCAGCTGACCTGGAACTCACTATTGTAGACCAGGCTGGCCTTGAACTCACAGAGATTCGCCTGCCTTTGCCTCTGGAGTGCTGGGATTAAAGGCGTGCGCCACCATGCCCGGCATGTCTGGGCTTTTTAAAGCAGTTGCCCAACCTTTTTCTTCTAGTATAAATTTTGACTGCCTTTAAAGTCAGCTTGTCAGTGACATATGCCTGTCTCCTGCCATATCTACATCCTGTGTCTCTGCTCTACCCCATTTTATGCAGTAATTATAGAGCTGAAAAATGTTGTGTGATGTTATCTCTGTGTGTGGTAAGTATGAATATTGTATTTTAAACATACTAGGAGAATGTCATAGCAAAGCCGGGTGTAGTGGTTTAATCCCAGCGCTTGGGAGCAGAGGCAGGCGGATCTCCAAATTCGATGCGAGCCTGGTCTACATAGTAAGTTCCAAGCCAGCCCAGAGCTACAGAGTGAGACCCTGCTTCAAAAAATTATATGTCTAGAGTTAATATTCCTTTGTCAGATTTCCTTAAATTGAGCCAAAACATATGGCTGGGTTTCCAGACTAAGAAGTCACTGTTGGCCTGTGCGAATAGTCTCAGGGCTACAAGACTGGGCAGGGAGTAGTGGTCTGGTCCCTTGACTCTGTAGAGGTGAGGAATGTAGGTTCTAGGCTTGGGGGAGTTTATGTTTTAATGTGTAATTGTTACTGAAGCCAAAAAGGTTGTTAGGGAAGTAACTCAGGAGAGACTTAGATTTAATGCTCCTTAAATGATTATAGTTTGTTTCTTTTTTAGACTTTGTACTGGGATCCACTATCTTCCCCACTAAAAAAAAAAGTCATCCTGGGAAAATTGTCCTCCTTACCTAACAATGATTGAACAGCCTCTGGTCCCTTCCAGCCCCCTGCCCTGTGTCTCAGGGCCATCTGGTCTCCACAGCCCGCTTTTTGGGAAAGTCTCCTTGCCCATCTGCTCTCCTTGGGCCTTAGTGCCTGCTCTAAAGATTTAGAAAGGCTGCCCCAAACCTCTTTCCAGTTGTTATTTTTTTAAGGGTCACGGAGATTTTGAGGCAGATAAAAGCTGTTTTCCTTTGACGTGTCCAAATGCCAAGTCCTTTTCCAGGTGCTTTCTTTCCTTTTATTAGCTGTGGGGAGGATCGGTCTGTCTTTCTCAGCTTGTGGGGAGGGACTCGGCTTATCAAAGCAAAGATTCCGCCAGCCTGGGCTGCTTTGAAGCCAAGTGTCCTCCTGGCTTTTGGCCTCTGGCGTGCTGTCCTGGGGAGCTCCTTGGGTTCATTTTTTTCCTGTCTTTTCCCTTGTCTCCCCAACAGAATATAGTCGCTTTGAATCCAAGATACATGACTTGAGAGAACAGATGATGAACAGCAGCATGAGTTCTGGGTCTGGGTCCCTCCGAACCAGTGAGAAGAGGTCCTTGTATGTCAGGTAAGTTGTCCCTCTGAGCTCCAGGCTCAGTGCTGGTTGAGGGCTGTTGGGCGTTGCTCAGCCCTTGTCTGACTGGTAGGGTGGGGAGTGTGTACTCCCTGCATGAAAATAGCACTTTGCACTGTATGCTCAGGTTGTGTATTTTATGGTCAGTGTATCTTCTCTTTTTGTGAGCTGGTTTCTTCCTTTTCGCTCATGAATGACTCAGTACGGGTAAATTTCAGTTTGCTCTAATTGTAAAAGACTGTTGGGTGATTGTTGCTAGTCAGCGTTCAAATAACACTTGAATGTTCAAAGTACATTGCTTGCAATCTGTGCTTTGAGGGGAAAACTTGGCACCCCCACATCCCCTTCTACATATGTATAATAGACATCCGGGTTTGTGTCTGAGCTTCCCAACTATCACAGTGTTCTGGTGCAGGGTCAGTTAAGAGACCAAAGAACTGACAGGTTGGTGCATTCTGGGTACTTCATTGTGACTCTTGCCTCCCCCCCCCCCGCCCCCAGCTCCATCGTCTGTTGTATGAGTCATGGGACAGGAGGGTGTATGTTCCCTAAGAAGGGAGAGACAGGGGACAGATTTTCACATCGCACTCTTACTGCTGAATGCTATTTGGTGATATAGTCCAAGGCTGAGCTTTTGGTGATATTGTTAAAGATTGAACTTCTGGCTCTCGAAGGGGTTAAAGTACAAACCTGCAGTTGGTGGAGTGATGGAGGAACACTGTGAACTTTTCTTAGCTTTCTTCCTGCCCTGGCTCTTGGGCAAAACTCCAACAGTCTGGTCACTGGTGCATTCTATCTCTCCAAGGTCAGAGGGCTTACAGAAAGTTGCTGGGATTACTCCCCAGAGCCAGAAGTAGTTCCTGGCCTATTTAATGCTTGCATGTAGGGTTGTCTCTACTGGTTGAACTTCTTCTGGTGGCCTCTGCTATTTGCTGGGGGTGGGGGGGGTGGGGGAGGGTAGTTGCCTGGTAACATGACAATTGCTGTGTCCTTGGGGTATGAAATGACGAGAGCTTACTGATGTCAATGCTAATTGCAGTTCTCACAGTGCTTCCTTTTCTCTCTCCACAGTTGGTAGTCCCTGACCCTTCTGCAGGGAGTCGGCCTGGGGAGCCCCTCTGTGCATCTGAGGCCTGCTAGAACCCTTTGAATTCTTTTCCAAAGTGAATCCTCCACTCATTGTGGGTGGAGAGCATTTACTGCTTTTGCCTCCTGCTGTCAGGGAAGAAGGGTAGAGAGAGTGGCAAGGTCCAGCCATCTTTCCAGTCTCCCTCCTGGTAAAGAAAGGCCTGTTGGCTGTCACTAAAGCCCATACTCAGGGTCTGCAGCCTAGCCAGTGGGCCACTGATAGGGAAACCAGAAACGTGCTGTCATCCCTGAAAGTGGGTAATACTTATGTGACTTGGTCAGGATTGTTCCGTTCCTGTGCTTCCAGCCCCCGCAGATGTGGCACTCCACTGTGCGTGGGAAGCTGTTCTTTAGGCAAGACAGTTTCTTCAGAGAGCTTTATTTTTAGATTTCTCCTCTCCGCCTATCCTTTGCTAGTGCTGTCCCTGCCAGGGCAGGGGAATTGGGCACTGGCTCTTGATCTGGAGCACCCTTCTGTGTCTCAGGCAAGGGATCCACTCAGCCTGACTCTGGGGAGGAAGGGAAAGACCAGGACTCCATTTCTAGTGAAGTCAATTTTATATAATCTGCCTTTAACCTTGTCTAGGTAACAACTGTGTCCTCTGAACATAGATATGGTTTAGAATAGGAACTGTTTGTGATCACTAGCCTCAACCAGAGGAAATAATGTTTTATGGTTATAGCCGTGAGCTGAGGCCCTTTTCTGGGCTAACCTCTATATCAGAATTTGGCTTGCTCCCCTCTGTTCCTGTTTTCAGGCTTTCCACTCTATTCTTGGTTCCATTTCTTCTGCATGTGAACATACTTGTTTCTTCCTTTTGTGTGTTTATATGTGTTGGGGTGGTGTTGGGGCTTCAACTCAGGGCCTCACCATGGCTTCACACATACTGGAAAAGCACTCTACCACTGAGCTATATTCTAGCCCTTTGTATTTATTTTTCTTTAAATTTGAAAATCAGTCTTAGTAAGTTGCCCAGGCTGGCCTTGAATAAATTCTGTAGCCCTATCATCCTTTCAACTTGTGATCCTCTTGCCTCAGCCTTTTGAGTATCTGAGATTATAGGCCTATACCACTAGTCCCAGCTTGTTTTTCCCATTCTTAAAAAAAAAAAAATTCCTTTGATACCAATAGTTCCTCACACCATTGCCATCTCTTTTCTTTTGCTAAATTCTGTGCTGGGAAATGCCCGTTCCCCAAAGAGTTAGTTGTATTGTGTGGGAAAAAAAACAAAAAAAAACAAAAACAAAAACAGGCCTTTTGTATAAATTGAGCAAACGCAGGCTTAACAGAGAAGAACAGGGTTCATTTTTTTTTTGCATGCGTGCATGCGTGCATGGAAGTGGACCTGAGGTCAGCCTCAGATGTCATTTCTCAGGAGCCGTCCACCTTGTGTTCTGAGACCTGGTCTATCCCTGGGACCTGGGGTTCACTGATTAGGCTAAGCTGGCTGGCGAGTCAGTGAGTCCTGTGAATTGTCTTGTCTCTTCCTCCCCAGCACTGGGATTCCAGGAATACACACCCATGTCTGGCATTTTTATGCAGGTACTAGGGATTGAACTTGGGTCCTTATGCTTACACAGCAAACACTTTACTAATTGAGGCATCTCCTGAGCCCCAAGAACAGGGTTCTTTACTGTTACTAGTGTTGTTCAGGAAACATACCAGGCAGTGTTGCCTCCTAAAAGTATGAACACAGGAGTATCATGTGCAGAAACCTGTATTACCGTTATGGCTGGGAAATGTTACAGGCATCCACATTCTCTGCTGCTACTTCTTCCATCACTTCTTCAGTGGCCTGACAGCATGTGAGCACCAGCTTTTCAGCAGCCCTGGAAGGCTCCAGAAGATGAGAAATCCAACTCTGTCAGGGAATAACAGTGACCTCTTGGCCATGAGATTTGGTGACTGGTTCATTGTTTCTCTGACACTGGTCTGACCTCTTCTTCACCTGTGTTTCTACAAGTTACCTGCCTACTTCTTTTTTTAAATATTTTACTTATTATTTTTATTTTATATGTATGAGTGTATTGCCTGCATATATGTGAGTGCTCCCGAGTCGTGCAATGCCATGGAGGTCAGAAGAGGGCTTCGGATTCCCCTGGAACTGGAGTTAAGGACGGTTCGTAGCCGCCATGTGGGTGCTAGGAATCGAACCCGGGTCCTCTGCAAGAGCAGTCAGTGCTCTTAACCGCTGATCCATCTCTCCAGCCCCCTGGCTACTTCTTTAAAGGCTCTTTGTCTACCTTGCTAACCATCTACTAACCATCTGGTACCCTCTCGTTAGCTCTGGCCCTGAAATGGCAATGCCGTTGATTTTTTTTTTGACAACTTGAAATCATATTGTTGTATAAATGATAACTCTGATCTCTTTACTGAACCTCAGACCTGCATATCAACAGCCTGATACACATATGCAAAAAATAAAGCTGCTCACCCCATGCCTCCGGGACTTAAAATGGACTCCTCTCCTTCCCTCCTCCCAGCTTTCCTTAAGTTAATTGCCTTACCTTATCATGTGGAAAAGGGATTAGACTTGTTCTGCCACCAAGGCATACTTCAGCTCAATGTAAAGAAGAATGTGCTCATAATAAATGCTATCTGAAATGGGATGGACTGCTTCCAGAGAGAATATATTTGATCTTTTGTCACTGGAGGGGTTACACAAGAGCCTGGGTAACCTTTTGCCCAGGTGTTGCAGAGGGCTGAAGCTAAGCAACAATATGGGCCTGATCTGTTCAGAAGCTTTCAGTAGTGCACTGGTGTCTTCAGGTTAAAGGGAACAAACATTTAGTGAACCGACATCTATCGTGCATCATGGTGTTTGTTAGTCTCTTTAAATGCTGTTTAAATAATGATATATATTATGATTCCCATTTTGTAGATGAGAAAACTGAGATAGATAGCTGAGGAATTCCCAAATTTGAATTTGAACCAGATTGCACTGACCATAAAGTATAATTTTTTGGCGTATCTTCAGCTTGCTGATCAATAGGAATTGGCTGGAGTGCTGGTAAAAATATATTCCTAAGCTCTTCTTCTAGAGAGTCAGGTCACCATGCCTGGTGAAATGCTTTCTTGTTTTTTTCTTTTTTTTCTTCTTCTTCTTGTTTGGTTCCCTACTCCCAGTACTCCTAGGGCCTCACACATGCTAAGCAAGTACTCTACCACTGGGCTATATTCTCAGCCCCCCCCCCCCGCCCTTTTTCCTTTATGAGACAGAGTCTCAAACTGTGTAACCCAAGCTGACCTTGATCTCATGATCCTCCCACCTCAGCATCCCAAGTAACTGGGATAGACCTGTGCCACCAGGTCTGGTACAAAATCCGTTTGTCTAACAATCTGAATGCTCACAAATGACCGCTTTATGCACTTCTAGCAGTGGAACAAGTGAATCATTATAGTTCTGTTACTTCTGTCTTGTGGAAAGCAGTTGAGTGCAGTCCTAAGAACTTGGGCAGGTTGCTGGGGTAGATTCACAGAAGCAGCAGCATGGTCCCTGCCCTTCTGCAGCTTGCCCTCCATTGGGAGGAAGTGAATATCCCTGGTGAAGGAAAGGCACCCTTTTCAGTTTGGGTTTTACCTCAAATTCTTTTTACTGCTGGTCCTTCTCACATTCTTCTTCCTTCCCCTTTGCATCTATGTCCATCTGTTGTTCATAGGTTTGCAAAGCTATTTTAAAGGAGGTAGCACCCCCTTACAGCTGCACAGAGGCCATAGCAGGTTAAACCCTAGGGAGCTTCAGCTATACTAACCATAGGGGTGGTGGGATTTTTGAAGAGGAGCAGGAGGAAAAAGGAAAGATAATAGTGTCTGGAAAATGAAAATTGACTTTCATTTGACTTTAAGCCACCAGGAACTTAACGAG